AAGTTTGGGACAAGAACGGTCAAAAATTGGAATTTCGACCCCGGAACGAAAAATTACGGTTTTGCCCCTCCAAACTTTTGGACTGATTTTCGAGGGCTTAAAGGATAAATTTTAAGGATCCGACACCATATTATGTCTACCGTGAATATATAAGACCGGTATGGACAAAAATTGAAATTTCGGTCCGGGATCGGAAAATTACGAAAATGCCCCTAGGTCATTTTTGGACAATTCCGAATTTGGTTAATTTTTGGGGTTTAACCAAGGTGAGTTTGACTTAATCCAGGTCTGGTCAGCCTTGGGTTAGTGACAAAGGACCATTTTACCCCTAAATTGTTGGATGGGAAGGAAAGATAGCCATTGGATCAAGGGCAAAATTGTCCAATTGACCTAGATTGAGACACATGGATTCCACTCACACCAAGCTTGACCACATTTGACCAGACCCTCTCTCTTTCCTGATGATCATTCGGCCATTTCCCCCAAAATTTTCTCCCTTTTCCCCGTTTCATTTTCTGCCGTGCACGTTCTGCTCTTCCTGGCACTGTTCACGCCGGAACAGTGTCACCGCCGGAGCTGCTGGCCGCCTACCACCACACGCCACCACCTGTCATCATCTCAGCCCCCCTCGACCTTTCTTTCTCCCCTAAATCGCCACCCACAGCAGCTGTCCAGGCGGAACAGTGAGAGCCACCGCCGGACGCCGGGAGACCTCGCCGGACGCCACTATGCCGTACCCCAAGCACCACCACCCCCAGCCATCATTCTCTCACCTGAACCGCCACCCTTAGCCCGGTTCCAGCCCCAAACAGAAGAAGACCAGCCGCAAATCGTCGTTCCCGTCGTCGCCGTGACCGCCGGCTTGCACCCAGAACGCCGCCGTCGATCCTTACCGCGTGTCGGTGATCGACCGCCCGTTCTCGTCGTCCCGAATCATCAATAGGCGAGTACAAACCCCTAAACCCTTAATTAGTCTAATTGTGTTTCTTAGGGGGTAATTAGGGGTTAATTAAGCTTATTTAGGGCCTAATTGTGTTTATTTGAGTGTGGGATGATTAGGATAGGTCATTAAGGCTTAATGAGGTTGGTTAAGTGTGGTTTAATGGCCAAATGATGCTCTGTTCTGGTACTGTTCATTAAGTACCGAAAATGTGCATATTTGTCTAAGTGTGGCACTAATTAAGTTCAAGTGCTAATGACTTGGAATTGGACATTTTGGGGATTAATTAGGCTTATTTGAAGCTTAATTAAGTGTACTTGGTTGTTGGGTAATTAGGGTTTGAGACTAGAGCCTAATGAGGGTGTTTAATTGTGGTTTAGTGGACAAAATGTGTCCTGCCCTGGTACTGTTCATTCAGTACCGAATTTGTGCAATTTGTCCAAGTTGAGTACTTAGTTGATTCATTGATTAATGGCAAGAATTTAAGCATTCTTGGGGGTTGGTTGGGACTTAAATAAACCCTATTGGATGACCCCACGATGGTGAGATCAACTATCGGAATTGATTTGCTCAAGGCGGGCCCGAGGCGCATGAAATTGAATTGTAACAAATGCGCGGAATAAATGTTAAAATGGTTGGATTACATTGGGAATAATTTGATTGTGCCGAGAGTGTGTTAGATACATTGACTTGGGGAATAATTGTATTCGGCATGTCGCCTTGGGTATCGACACAAATTCCCGAACATATGTTTTGCATATCAAGTTGTGATTGGTTGAAATTGAGTGAAACGATGTACATGCTTGAGTTATATTCAATTGTTGGCCTTCGGGTCGGGCCTACGGGTCGTTATATCCAATTGTGACCTTCGGGTCGGGCCTACGGGTCGATTTATCAAACTGTTGGCCTTCGGGTCGGGCCTACGGGTCGTTATATCCAATTGTGACCTTCGGATTGGGCCTACGGGTCGATTTATCAAACTGTTGGCCTTCGGGTCGGGCCTACGGGTCGCTTTATTTAATTGTGGCCTTCGGGTCGGGTCTACGGGTCGCTTTATTCAACTGTGGACCTTCGGGTTGGGCCTACGGGTCGTTATATTCAACTGTTGACCTCCGGGTCATGGCCTTCGGGTCGTAATATTTGTGGGCCTTCGGGTCGGAATCATTGCACGTAAGTATCATTGTTGTTGAACGCCTAATCTGCAGGTCTTCGAGATATTGTATTGGGCTGTCTTCGAGATATTCTCACGGTTGTGGTAAAATCGACATTTCATATCCCCGGCCATGAATTTTGAGGTCGAGAAGCAGGACCCCTAGCCCGAGACAGAGTCTGAGGCTATGAGTTCAGAGGAGAAGCCAGAGCAGTCCGAGAGTTTTCCGAGACGTTTGGATCTGACCCCGACTGGATACCCTAGGGCAGACCTCAGTTTTAGGAGCGAGGGCCGATACTTTTTTACTGTAGCCCTCCTGTTGTTAGTCCGATCTCCTAGGCCACCGATCCCTTTTTGTTTTAGTGGCCTTTTTGTTGTATCTCCTGTTTAAAAATGAATATTGGCCCCGTTTGGTTCAGCATTCCTAAGGGGCTTTTGGGCTCGAAAGCCCCTTGGGGAAATGCTGGAGCGTTTGGCAAGCATTCCAAATAGGCTTTCGGCCGAAAGCCAGCATTAGGAATGCTTAAAGCTCAAAGCTGGTCCGGACCCAGCTTTGGGCTTTCAGCATTTGGCAAATGCTGAAATCAATTTTTTTCTTCCCAAACTACCCTCATTTATTCTTTAATATTTTGGTTTTGCCCCTTTGTTACTGTTCATCTTCTTTGCGCTCTGGCGAGGGCCGACGACACCGGATCTGAATGGCGAAGGGCTGGCGAGGGGCCAACGAGGTTGCCCGACCCCAACCAACGGCTGCTTGGGTCGCATGACCCTCGCCGGGGGTTGCCCGACCTCAGGCGATGGCCGCCAGCGCCAAATCTAGTTCGCCGGCTGCCGTAGCCCTTCGCCAGCTCCGGCGAAGGGTAAGCTTTTTTTTTTAATAAAAAAGAAAATCCCAAAGCCCTTTGCAAAAAAAAAAATAGCCAAACATTACTTGGGTCAAAGTAGCTTCACAAAGGTTTTTTTACCAAACACCATTTATATTTCTTCAAGGGGCTTTAACCTAAAGGTATTTGCATTCCCCCAAGGCTCATTTGCAAAGTTGAACCAAACGGGCCCATTGTATATAAGTCTTGTAATGAATGTATATATTGTTTTAATAGTTCGTAATTTGTTATCTCTTGCTATTCATGGTTGCTTTTAAATTGTCTGGGTGTATATATATCTATTATATATACGTCGTTTTCGCATGTGGCGTGTTTTCTCTAATTTGGGTTTTCGGGTCGATGACGTAACTTGGGAGCGTCGCACCACATTTCGACCTATACGCGGATGTTCATGCTTCGTAGGGTACGGGGCGTGACATGTACCAACAATATGCATCGTGAAAGTCATACCAACGGATGTAATCAAAGCCCTAAATAATAGGTTCATGGGCTTACAAGGTGTTTTCTATGTCTCCAAGGTAGCTATGATTAGTGAAAGAGGGTTAGACCTCTTTTAATGAATAAAACAACTAAAACCCAAATGACTCCGGTGTAATATCTCCCCCTCTCTCTCTCGTCCATATTTATGCACCATGTGTTTCCAAAGTTCTGCCGCTATTAATAGATCTAATATTATTTCTTGCTGGTACACTAATTTTGCGTGTCATTATATGTTTTTTAAGGGATCATGTGGTAAATTATTATATAGCAAGTAAAAAAGAACTTCTCGGAGCTTAGGGATGAAATTTCGAGGAAGCCACCAAATTTGTTATCAGGCAAAAATTTCAAATAGAGATATGAAGTGTTATCGTTTTCTCAAAAGAGGATTTAGAGTGAATTTTGTTTCAAATAAGAATCTGAATTAGCCATTTAGTCTTAAATAAGGGCCTAACTTGCCGGGGGACGAACAATCCCAAAATCCTTACCCAAAAATTGGTGAGCCTCAATTTTGCCTTTTATCTCACGGAAACTTCTCTCATTTGCTACTCACACCACAGTCGTTGGTAGATGTCTCTTTGTCTATCTGCCTGAGAGAACACAGAAAATGGTACGCCCCAATTCCGGTGTTCTTGATTTGGGCAATGCCTATCTTCAACATTGATGAAGAAGATGATGAATAGGGACACCATGGCTCGGATCAAGAAGAAGATGAATAGGGTAAAAGAGAAAGAAAAATAAATATCTTTGGACAAAATTATCCAAACGGCCGCCAAAATTCGCACGGGAGATGCATACATTCACCGGCCAATAAGTCAAATTCTTATTTGAAATTAAATAATTATTCTGAATTTTTATTTAAGATAAAATTTATTTTAGGTTTTTTTTATAAAGTCGGGCCCCTTTTATGTGTGAGCCTATGGCCTAGAGTTGTTTGTAGGTGGGTGCAATAATTGAGTCCACTAGGACCAGTACTGATCTATACTATTCACTACTTTTGTCGGCCACAAAAAAGCTTGTGTCACTCGGACAGTCCGAAGAAAATGGTACGCCCCAATTCCGGTGTTCTTGATTTGGGCAATGCCTATCTTTAGCAATGATGAAGAAGATGATGAATAGGGACACCATGGCTCGGATCAAGAAGAAGATGAATACGGTTGCCAGAATTCGCACAGGAGATGCATATGTTCACCGGGGGATAAGTCAAATTCCTATTTGAGATTAAATGATTATTTCGAATTTTTATTTGAGATAAAATTTATTTTGAGTCCTTTTTTTTTAATAAAGTCAGGCCCTGTTTATGTGTGAGCCTATGGCCTAGAGTTGTTTGTCGGTGGGTGCAATAATTGAGTTCACTAGGACCGGTACCGATTTATACCATTCACTACTTTTGTCAGCCACAAAAAAGCTTCTGTCACTACAGTCCGATTAACGCGATGGTACGAGTTCTTCAATGAAAAAAAGTCCATGTGTTCACACCTGAAGATGTGCTGGTCCATCCATAAACATCGCCATTTACCAAAGTAGTACAAGAAGTCATGCGTCTCTGTCCTCTACTATAAGAATAATTCAATAAGAAGATCAAGTGGTGAAAGAACCGCCAGGTAAAACACTCTGCCAAATCTTAAGCTAGTACTCTTTGCTGATTGTTATACTCCATCGTCCAATGGCTTCTTCATCGCAATCCAAAGGAATTTACGACGTGTTCTTGAGTTTTAGAGGTAAGGATTTGCGCAACAACTTCATCAGTCATCTCTACAAAGCTTTAGACCAGAATGGAATATACACTTTCATTGATAGTGAGGAATTGAGGAGGGGAGATCAAATATCTCCGGCGCTTATGAAGGCCATCGAAGAATCATGCATCACAATCATCGTTTTCTCGGAGGATTACGCTTCCTCACAATGGTGCTTAGAAGAAGTGGCAAAGATTATGCAGTGCAAGGAGCAAAATAACCTAACTGTTCTACCAGTTTTCTATAACGTGGACCCAAGAGAAGTGAGAAGGGGGAGAGAGAGTTATGGGAGAGCTTTGGATAAGCATGAGTCCAAGTTTGGAAAGGATTCAAAGGAAGTAAAGAGATGGAAGAAAGCCCTTTTCGACGCCGGTAGCTTGTCCGGGTGGCATTTGAACAATGGGTAAGTTGAGTGGAGTTCATAATTTGTGTAAGAAACTAATCTTTACAAGTAAATATAAAGATTATTTGTAAAAATAAAAAATAAATAATCAACACACATTATTTTCAGTCTAAAATGTTAAAACTTCATGGACCAATGGATTGCATTTAGCCCATTTCGTTGGAAGAAGTAAAGAAAGTTCGCAACACCATATACAGGATAATTAGTGTGTACAAGCCATGCAAGGCAATGACATCATGCTTCAGGTATTTAATCATTTTTAATAGAAATTTTAACCATTGTTCAAAGTCCTAAATAGCTCTTTTTGATTAAGCGTGTAGATAAATCACATATAACAGTCAAAAGTAAAAATAAGTAAATTGTCATGTATAAATCAAAAGAACATGAATCACTGGATGATTAAAAGTTGAAACCTAAAATTATTTTGATTGGTGTGGAGTTCTTGGAGTTCTAATTCGACCTGGCGGGAATACATTTTGTTTTGGTAGTGATTATCTAAAAATGTGATGCACTGTTTTGTCATTGTTGGCTGGTGACCGCTTGTGATTTGCTTATTCAAATTACTAAAATGATGCTACAACTTCTTTTTTCATTTTTGTCAGAGATGAGTCAGAGCTTATACAAAGAATTGTGAAGGAGATCTCCACTCGCCTAGCCCAAACACCTTTGCATGTTGCTAAGCATCCGGTTGGGATAGATCGCCGAGTGGTTAAGCTGAAATCAATGTTAAAGCTTGAGTCTAATGATGATGCTATCATGGTGGGATTATGGGGACAAGGAGGCATAGGGAAGACAACTTTAGCAAGAGCTCTTCACAATGCTATTTTTAGACAATTTGAGGGTTCGTGTCTTTTGGCAAATGTTCGAGAAGCTTCAAAAGATTCCAAGGATTTAGTTCAATTGCAAGAAAACTTACTATCTGAGATTTTATCACTACAAAAAAGATTAGCAGTGTCCAGTGTTGATAGAGGTATTAATCTAATACAACATAGACTTCGTCACAAGAAAGTTCTCCTCGTCCTTGATGATGTGGATGACTTGCGCCAATTAAATGCTTTAGCAGGAGAAGGCAAGTGGTTTGGTAATGGAAGTAGGATCATTGTTACTACAAGAGATAAACATTTGCTAACTTGTCATGGGATTGATCAAGATCACGTGTATGAAGTTGAAGCACTCGATGATAGTGAAGCTCGCGAGCTACTTAGCAATCACGCTTTTCCGACACACCAGAAATTAGAAATCAGGATAGATATGGTGGATAGTGTTCTCAATCATGCTAGAGGCCTTCCTTTAGCACTTGAGGTGTTGGGTTCCTTCTTATGCGGTAGAAGAGAAGATGTATGGGAAAGTACACTACGGAAACTTTCTAGGTTTCCCAACAAAACCATTAATGATGTGCTCAAAATAAGTTATAATGGACTAGAGGAAAATGAGAAAGAGATTTTTCTCCACATTGCCTGCTTCTTTAAGGGAAAGCATAGTAATTACATAAAGAAAGTTCTTGACAGTTGTGATTTTGAGACAGCCGTAGGATTTGATATTCTCATTGAGAGGTCCTTGATAAGCATTGAGAACGGACCACTACAAATGCATGACTTGATTCAAGCAATGGGTATAGATATTGTGAACCAAGAATGTCGATATGATCCTAGGAGACGTAGCAGACTATGGTTGTATGAAGATATTCTTGATGTTCTATCAAGCGACATGGTAAGACTTGCAAATACGATTAAATCTTTTGCTTTTTATTTTTGACTCTAATTATTAAAGATGCATGACCTAAAGTGTCTTGTATACAGGGAGATTGTGTTGTAAAAGCCATAGTGTTGGAGCCATTTGAGCCAATAGAGATATGTATCGATCCTGATGCTTTTACAAAAATGAGAAGGTTGAGATTGCTCATTTTGCGGAATGTGCATAATTCTTTCCAAGGTCCTGTATGTCTTCCTAATTGGCTAAGATGGTTTGAATGTCCTGGTGCTTCGTGGATTCCAGAATTTTCCTCTGGCACAAAGAAATTAGTGGGACTTAATATGAGCGAAGGCAATATCACAGGAGTGGTAAAAAAATTTAAGGTGAGCATTTACCTACATAGACATTTGTATTATCTACTTCATTTGTATATGTATATGCGTATTATATGGGCCAGTACACCAAAGGAAGTGGTGTTCCTATGTTTTTGAAACCACTTTTCTATTTTCTTTCAAAATGACGCTGACAACTTGTGTTAGAAATATTTTTACGTGCAGCAAAATTGGCATTTGAAAAAATTAGGCGAACAACTTTATTAGAAATACTCAAAGGAAACAATTTTTGTTCAAAAAATAGACAATACAAAGAAGTTTTATACATATATGTGGAAAGAGAAAGATATTTCAAGATTTGAAGTTTTTGTATGAGGTCATTGCATCAATAGAAAAATTCGACTTTTCAAATTGAAAATGTGAGTGCCAAAAAATAAAATAATCAATTTCACATATCTGTCCATGGTATAATATCTGTTAAATAAGTAATTGAGGATAATTGATGGAAGGAATATAAAAGAAGATTAAAATCTTTTAGTAGGAGATCATCTTTACCTTATATAATAGTATAAATAAAGTTCACACACTTTCTAAACCTAATATCTCTAACTATCGACATTGATATATTTTAAAATCAGATCAAATCTACCTAGTGGAGAAATTCAAAATGCAATTTACTGTCGGTTGTTTACATATAAACTATTTTTATTTTACAAAAAAATTGTATAGTGATCGAACAAAAGGGAAACAAAAATATAACGAGCCTACCCGTTGACATGTATATAGAGGTAAAGACACCCAAGGAGTAGCTGGCTAAGTGGTGGTAGGCCACGTAGTCATCAAGTAATAGATCCTTACTCAATGCACATACCTAAACAGCAGGGATTTGTCCAGCATCAATAAAATTAGATCAGTCAAAAGTTTGAATGCACCATTCTGTAAAACGAGGCATTTTTAATTGCTTAAATAATTTCTTAAGGAGCAGCACTTCTAAGTGGATATAATAGAGTATTTTGTTAGGAACTTTGCCAGTAATGAGTGTTATGTGTGCACAACTACATCAATATAAGTGATCCAATAGGGGCATGCCGCTAGTTTCTTAATAGAAAGTCAAAGCTAGATTTGAATTGAGTATATGAAATTTTTATTATCTTCCGAATGTATTTCAAAGTTGGCTTCGCTGTCTTTGCATGACTTCAAAAAAATTTTAAGTTCATTAATTTTACGCAATTACATTATGATAGTATTTATATCCCCCATTCATCTAGGATATATAACTAAAGCCGGAACTAGCAGAGTCTTCATTCCTATGCTTGCCATGTGGCACCTCACTTTACTTTTGTGGTTGCCAAATGACATGACGTGTGGAATAGTTTTGTCACGTGGCCCACACCCGCAATCACCATGCCGCACTTTACTATATGCTTCTATGGTTGCCACATGCAATGATGCGTGGCGTAGTTTTGTCATGTGAATTACATTCGCATGCTCGTCACGTGACACTTCACTTGAATTTTGTGGTTGCCAGATGCATGATGCAGCACAATTTTATCCCAAACTAATTTTTATCAACTACTAGAGGGTAGATTTGAGTCAAGTGTATCAGTTTGTGATTTTTTTATTAGAAAAAAATTTGTTTTGGGTAACTGTGCCATAGCGGTACAAGTTTTGGATTTTTGTAAAACGAAGATTAATTTGGAGTAATTCTGCATACTGATTTGGGATTTTTAATGGTATTAATTCTAAATTTTTTAGTAATTGTCAAATAAAATTTTATTTTTGAATTTTTTGATGGTGCCCAGTTGCCTGATCTACCGATGCTCCTTCCTTCCTTCCACATGAAGACTAAAACTATTGCGGCCTAAGCATATGTAATTATGACATATTCACCCGGTCAATATAGATTATATAATAGTCATGGATATGCAATTGTGACATATCCATTCCCTGAGAAACCCAATCTCCCCCATGTGTTGTGTAGGCAAATTAATTACTGTTTTATTAATCATGAATATATAAAACCAGGGATAACGTGAATGACATCCGTTATTGAATTACCATCATTTCCCCAGTTTGAGCGAATGAATGACTCCCCCGCCTATGTAAAAACACCCCTTTTTGTCCCTTTCAGATTGTTTATCAAAAGTTGTTTTGCTATTTTTGCAGGACTTCCAAAATTTGAAGTATATTACTTTCAGTTACTGCGAGTCGCTAGTCCGCATCCCTGATATTTCATATACTCCAAATCTCGAGCAATTGAATCTCCCATATTGCAAAAACTTGGTAGAAGCCCATGAGTCCATCGCATATCATGACAAGTTACAGATGTTGAATTTATGGGAGTGCTCTGAACTTAGCATTTTTCCAAATGTGCTCAAGTCAAAAAATCTCCAAGCTCTCAACCTTCTAAATTGCACAAAATTTGAAAGGTTCCCTGATATTCCACATAAACTCGGAGGCCTGGAAGAGCTTTGGTTACTAGGGACTGCTATTAAAGAACTTCCTGCTTCAATAGAAAATCTTGTTTCTTTGGAGAATATGTATATGCATCATTGCAAGAACCTGGTAAGTCTTCCGTCTAGCATTTATAATTTACAAAACCTTATAAACTTGCAAGTTAACTCTTGCACAAATTTAATCGGGTTTCCAAAGTATGAGGATTCAGCTGCTCCCTGCATGAAGACCGGACTTTCAAATTTACTTTGGTTGGACCTTTTTGGATGTAATTTGTCCGAAATAAAGTTTCTCGAGAATCTTTCATGTTTTCCCTCCGTGGAAACATTATTGCTCGGGGGGAATAATATTACTAGCCTTCCTACATCCATCAATAAGCGTGATCATTTGCTCTATTTGAGTGTTAGAGAAAGCCATCAATTACAAGAGATTCCTGAGCTTCCACCACTTTTGAATTGTCTTCTGGCGGATGGTTGCGAATCTATGCAAAATACTGGAGATTTAACTTCATTTCATGATTTTGTCCGTAGAGGGGCGACCATGGCTGATAGTTCCTCACCTGACCTGGTTAGTCTCTCTCTCTCGCTCTCTCTGACACACACACACATCTATGTGGAGTATATGCTGGATTCAGTGTGTGCTTGTATATTGCAATAGGAGAAAATGCAAGTGGAGGCTTAAGAAATGCAAACAAATATGAAGTGAGGTCAAACTTTTTATATCAATGTGCGTTCTCACAAGATAAATTATCCAAAGAATGTTAGAGTTTTTTCTTTATATCAATGTGGTATTCCAGAGTTTTTTTGAGTACCCAACTAATCTCCACTAGATCGGACAATCTCTCCTCTGGCCGAACCCACTAACATTGGGTAATTACCGAGGACATGCAAGTTCATGTTCCTGGGAGTCACATAAAGAAAATGTGCCAATTTGGTGATTTGAACTCGGGCCTTGATTGAGGAGGATAAACATATTCACAACTTGTGAAACCTCGTTAGGGTTAAAGACATATCAATACAATAATGCAAAGTTGGATGGAATAGTGTGCTATGGCTTAATCGTGTGTCGCACAATCATTGGCTCCGTTTTCCTCCCTCAAAATATATTTCGTTAAAGGAAATAAAAAGAGTGTTAATTAAATAGATAACATTTATGTGCTTTAGGACTGTAACTTAAAAAATTCATTTCTATAGTTATACACAAACTTTGTCATTTACTGATTTTTCTTTTACCATTAACTCTTAATTAAAAATCAAATGGAGTTAGAAAACATAGCGGCATAACTAACTTACATAGCAATTAACCATATATAAAAAGGTAATGTACATAAAATATTTAGTTATTATGTAGCCAAGAAAAACTTTATTAACTAATCGTTTTTAGATGGGCATTAATTGATAAGGCTAGATCATATGGTGAACACATAATTTCGAATGGCGTTCTTTAAATCAATTATCATGTGGATGGTATAAAATGAAAACCAATACTTTACAAAAATTAACTGAGAAAGAGAAATGTCGCACCATATAGTCTATATCTTGGCGTAAATAATCAGTATATGGCATTGATTTAAGACTAACAATACCAAGAACAAGGAAAATGTTGCATATATATCATTGGCTTGAATAATCAGTGTTTGCCAAATGCATTGTAATGGAGGTGGCTACTGTACTTTTATGGGAATGATTTCTATCACATGAGACTTGTATATTAACGAAGCAAGGATTATTTGGACCTCTACTCATTTATACAACGCCAGTTCTAAGTGGAATTCACTAGGATTACTTACTAAACTGAAAAATGAATTTTCTATTTGGGTACTGATAATAGACTCAGTATTTTCTAACGGTCTACCCTTATAACAGAATCCTCTTCGTTACCCTCGTTACCTAATTACTCTTCCTAGAGGAGAGATGCCAGAGTGGATCCTTCCTATTGAAGAGGATTCCGTATCTTTCATGGCTTCAAAGGACTTGTATGACAAGTTTCTTGGATTTGCTCTCTATGTCGCTCTCGGTAATGATGAACAGAAAAAGGGAGCCCCTTTTCGGCTTGTACCATGTGTTAATGGGGAGCGTCGGGAATATTGGGTACCACGTTACGATACCTTTTTGTCGGATTCGGATCGTATCTGGCTTCAGTATTTCACACCATCTCAATTGTGGGGAGTAGTCAATTTTGGTCAAATTGATGGGAGTTATGTACAATTTAGCCTTACCATATCGGGTAGAATTGTGAAAAAGTGGGGATTCCGAATAATATGCGTGCAATTAGAGGACGATTTAAAGGTTGTGCTCCGAGACACTCAGCTAATGGATCTAGCTTTACTCTACGAGGTTATTCTTGAATCAACAGATTCAGAAGCCAAGATTTCACTTGTGCATGAAGGTAATTCGATCGAAACAGATCTACAGAAGGACTTACAAGATTGTCAAGTGTGTGCCGAGGAAAAAAGTCAAGTAGTACCAAAGAGAAATCATGAGCTTATTCTCCCTCAAGGCATGCAAACCAAGACTATGTTGACTTCCAATTCGATTGGCAGAGATGAGAATGGTCGTGTTGGCTTGCAGCTTTTGTTGTTAGAGTGATCGAATCTTGCTAAGGAAGTAATTCGTAGGTAAGTGAACTCACTTGGTCTTGTTTTTAGTTTTTCTCTCCCCACATTCTTTCTTTGGGTATTAAACCCAATTATAATATATCTAGTTTTTCTCCGCCATTGGCAAACTTCGAACTCCACCGACGCTACTTTCAGCATCATCACTGCTCATCTTCCATCCGACACCACCAAGCTTTGACTATTGTAAGATCGCCACCTACCAACGGAGGCGACGAACAGAAGTAGTTCTTCCTGAAACAGAGTCCCTAGCAAACGATGGCGATGGAGACCAGCCATTTGAGACGACAGATTATAACTGCTGACCGAAGCCATGGAAACTGATGATGTAGCTTCGGGTGAACGATTCTCTGCAGAGGTTCTGGGCTTCATGCAAGTGGCCATAGATCAGGTAATGCCTAACACGTCTGAATTGTATTAGTTGATGTAATACTTGAGATTTTGAATTTGATTCTATGATGCTACAATTGCCTGGGAACTTGAAGAATGTGTCGTTGAATTTGTTCGAGAGAAGTTGAATAAGTGTTTCGTCGTAAGTTTAGTCTGTGGATGCTTGGTAGTGATTCCATTGGTAATCACTGTTACACGCTGCAAAATCAGCAACAATCCCTAGAAGGTATAGCGTTTCTTTCTTTCTTTTTATAGGTGGCGAATTATTTAAAGAAGTAGGTGAAGTCTAGTTTTGAAGTAAAAATAAGCGAGGGCGAGTGAAACAATGGGAAGTAGGGTGTACATGGGTTGTTTCAGTCCCCCTTTCGGGCGAAAAACTGAGTCAAACTGGGTGCTATAAGTTGAGGACTCCCTCACGGGAAACCAGGCATTGCGGACAACTAGCAGCACGGAAGAGAGAGAGAGAGAGAGAGAGAGAGAGAGAGAGAGAGAGAGGGAGGGTGGTATTTACCTCTCAGCGGGTGATAGGTTTGCCAGGACAATTGAATTGTGAGAAAATTCAATCATTGGGATAGCACTCTGATAGGACTCTGTCGCTAAGTTCTATGAGGCGCTTGAAGAGGCAAAACCATACAGGAATGAAGAAGTGAGATAGCAAGCCACCGAGAAAGGTTGCTTGACAGTCAAGTCCTTTTACCACTCGCCGACTTTGGCAACTAGGGTTAATTGGAAAGCAAATTTACTTGGAGTGTGAGAGTAATATGAACATTGGTTGTGCCCATTGATAACTGGGTAGGTAGTTATTTCTTTCGCCCTGTGGACTATGGATATGAAAAAGAAAAAAATCACGAGAAACACGGAGTTTGCATAAGTTATTCAGTAGAATAGAGACAATGAGCCATATCAGTTTAACAGTTCGGTAGGATTTGCATCTGAATTACAGGATGAGTACCTGGTGATAATCATTGCATGGAAGTTTGTGACCAGTATGTTATATAGGATTTGCAAGATCTTGATCATAACTATGAGACATGCATTCATTCCATTAGTAGCCACATATTGATACCGAAATATTTCTTGCAACTTGCTGATTTTCTCTTGAATTGCCTGTATGCAGGCATGCATGCATGAGAGAATTTCTGACTCTTATCCTCATTTTTTTTTCTCCTAACAAGGAACATGGCCTCTTTGCTTTTCTTATATAAGGCAAAGCTTGCGTAACAGCCTTGAAGTTTCAGTTTGGTAAGATACTAGCTTTCAGTTACTAGGTCCATTTCATATATGTTACTTTATTTTCTAATTAAGATGGTTAGTATTTCAATCTTATGCATGATCTCTGATTGTACTCCTTGATTGAACAGATATGTGATTGTTGAGGATGGGAATGTTATTGCGGCAAAAAGAAACCAGACTAGCGAGACACAAAATGTATGTTGATCATTGCTTCTCCACCCCCTCCAATAAATTTTGGGCAACAGATCTTTGTTATTGTTCTGAATTGGTACCCTCGAATTATCCACTCCTAGTTTATCGTTGATCATTTTATGTTTCTCCCTTAATATTTCTTTAATAGATGATAAAATAATATATCTGATCAAATCTGTCAGTATGTAGAATTTTCCATGCACTATTTGGCTGTAAAGGATTTTGTTCCCGTTACTCTTCATAAAACATGGCTATGGCTAACAATAACAATACTATTGCTTTATTATGCACGATGTTTTGCGTTTTTCATTCGCTATTGTCCTATGTTTGAGACCACATTACGGTCTTTATCCATTGTGAAGTTCCTAACATTGGTTTCTTAGACCGCATGTTAGCTAGACTTTTGGTATACTTAAATGGTATAAAAATGCATTGTGACCATTGTAAGGCCTTTTAAGATGCAATGACCTGTTCCTTGGGCACATTTCATCATACACTGACCTCATTTACACAGAAATTTTAAGCCTGGTTCCGGTAGACATCATCGCCTATCCAATAGTCTGTTTTTGTAATCATTTATAGTCATATGGTGACAATGTACTACTATAAATGATTGTATGGATGGTAATGAGTAGTTTTTTTTTTTTTGGTAATGAGTGGTTGATGCGTAAAATATTTGGTCCTTTTAGTATCTTGTGGAGCTTAATAAAAAAACAAATGCGCCTTGCTACAGAGGTATGTGTAATAATACTGCTCCAAAAGGTGGAGGTGGCTAATCCAATAAGAAGCCTCTTTTTCCATGTGGGATTCTCAGCAACTTCAAGCGAGCAAAACTTGTTAACTTCATGTGGCATATGCCTGGATCAATCTTATATATACTCTCAATCAGTTAACTTGAAGGAGAAAACATCTCCCATGAAATGCATTTCTTAATTATGTTGAAAATACACTAAGAGCAACTGTCTCTTTGACAAATCTCCTAAGTTTCATATGCTTGCTTTGTTTTTCTCCTTGGGCTTGTATAGACAGCAAGACATGCAGAGATGGAAGCTCTTGATGTTCTTCTTGAACAGTGGCAGAGGACTGGATGTTTGGCTGCAGAAGTTACAGAGGAGTTTTCAGCATGCTCCCTTTATGTGACATGTGAACCGTGCATAATGTGTGCTGCAGCATTATCGATCATTGGTACATCTGTTGATCATACTGAAATAAAACTAAACTTTCCTAAAATATGTTTATTCATAAATGATTAGATGACTCTTACCCGTTTTTAGGTATAAAGGAAGTATATTATGGCTGTGCAAATGACAAATTTGGTGGCTGTGGCTCAATACCTGTCATTGCATTCAAGTAGCTCTGAGGCATGCATTACGTCAGTTTCTGAACTTGCTTTTGTTGCTGATTTTGCATCTACATAGATGCACTTTGAAATTGTGACATATGTCAATTGACAACTAAAGCTTACTGGAGGTTTATGATTCCTTAGGTTGACTACTAATGGATGTGGTTTCGTAGTGATTCTGTATGTTGTCGCACTTTGAATATTGCAACACATAACCATGAAAATAAATGGAGGTTTTTGGAACTAATTTTCCATCTTTTCTGTCCTTTCCTTAGTCTAAATGGGAAAAAGTGGTGTCTCCGGAAGCATATATGTGATTGGTTTTCTGAATACGACATCAAGCAAGAGGGCTCGTCTTGCACATAAAAGACCGCCGTGCTCAATTTCCTCCCTCTGGAGCTAAAAAACTAGCCCTAGTTATTGCATAGTTTCACAATAGAGAGAATGAGACTGTTGTTGTAACGGGGAGCTTGGTTCCTATGCATTGTTTGGAAAATTGATGGAAGTTATGTACAATTTAGGCTTACAATATCGGGTAGAATCGTGAAAAAATGGGAATTCCGAATAATATGTAAGCAACTAGAGGATGACTTAAAGGTTGGGATTCAAGATAATCGGCTTATAGATCCAGCATTACTCTACGAGGTTGGTCATGACTCAACAAATTCAGAAGCCGAGAGTTCACATATGCACAAAGTCAGTCCGATCGAAATAGATCTACAGAAAGACTTGCAAGATTGTCAAACGAGTACTGAGGAACATAGTCAAGCAGTATCAGAGAGAAATCATGAGCTCTTCTCCCACGAGGCATGAGAACCAAGACCACGCGGACTTCTAATTCAATTGGCAGAGATGAGTATTGCAGCGTTGGCTCGTTGCTTTTGTAGTTAGAATGATGGAAACCTGCTGAGGAAACAATTCGTAGGTAAGTGAACTCGCTGATCTTCATAACAGTGCCTTCTTTCTTCTTGTTTCTTCTCGTTTTCATTTCAAAAATAAGTAAAAAAAAACTCGTAACAAGCTGTTGGTACCCACTTTTACGCATATATTGCCATTCAGGCATATTATGTGTGCATTTTAATTAGTGTTAACTTTGCTGTTGTTTCTGGCAAGAGAGCTCGACAAGAAGAGAGAAGCTCCACCTACTTATCGACTTAAGATCGAGAAAACGAGTTCGACCAAGAAAGCATGCAGAGGCTGTGGCTGGAGAGTTACCTGAAGAGGTTTGGGCGAATAATTTCTTGCGAAGAAAACTCAAACAAGAACCAGATCGCGTGCTCATACATGTGGCAAGCATGCAAACATGGAAAGTGGTCATGATGGATGAAGATTTGGTGAGTTTTATCTATCTTTGTTTTCATTTTTACTTTCTCTTTCCTTGCACTTTCGGATCTTGCACTTTCATTCCCACGTATTTTCGTTTCAGTTCATTTCCTTTCTAAGCAATTTCAATTCCCAGTGCTATCTGCTTTCTTCGCACTTAGTTAACGCATAGATTCGTCACTCGATCCAAGCCTCGTTCGCCATTTTTATAATCAGGTATGGAACCATGGAGCGATCCCGATCGCTCTCCCTTCACTCTATTATTCCTGTAAATAGATTCGAGCACGCGATTCATAGCAGATTATTAGCAACCTCGGTTGCATGGTTACCCCGCTATGTCATTTTTCCGGAAAAAAAATATTTTTTAAAAAAAATTATAAATGTCGAATTTTCCTCGAGACAAAAGGAACAAATATATAAAAAAAAAAAACTGATTTTGGGCTTTCTCAAAAATTAACCTTCCATCATGCTAGGGAATATAATATATCTTTTGATGATTCGCTTGCTTAAACAAATAAAATTACCCACTTTCCATCTTATACATAAACCGTCTACTCAGAAAAGGAAGGAGGAACTCCACCGAACGCCGCTTTCGACATCACGACTCCTCCCTCATCTTTCCATCCGACACCGCCGAGCTCTGACAAAATGGAAGATCGCCGCCACCTGCCGACGGTGGTGACGAGCAGAAGAAGAAGAAGAAGAAGAAGAAGTTCGTCTTCCGGAAACAGAGTCCCCGGCGGACCGACGGCGACGGAGACCGGCCAGCGGAGGCGACGGGCTACCACCGCCGACCGAAGCCATGGAAACTGGTGACGTAGCTTCGGGTGAACGATTCTCTCCCTGAGGTTCGTTCTGGGCTTCATGATGCAGCTTGCTATATAGATCAGGTAACGCCTGGCACATCCGAATTTTATTTGAGTTGATGTGAAGCTTGAGCTGGATTTTGAATTCGATTCGTTCGGTGCTGCAATTGCGCGGGCACTTGAAGGATGTGTTGTTGAATTTTGTTGGAGAGACGTTGAATCAGTGTTTCTTCGTAAGTTTAGTCTGTGGATGCTTGGTAGTGAATTCATAGGTTATCGACGTTACGCCCTGCAAAATCAGCGACAATCTCTGGAAGGTATAGCTTTTCTATCTTTGTTTTCATAGGTGGCGATTTATTGAAAGAAGTAGGTGAAGTCTAGGTTCAAAGGAAAAAACAAGCGAGGGAGAGTGAAATAATGGGAAGTAGGGTGTATATGGGTTGGTTCAATCCCCTTTTCAGGTAAAAAACCGAGCCAATCTGGGTGCCGTAGGTTGGGACTTGGGAGGGAGGGAGATATGGATGGATCTGGGTGCTTTTGAGGTGTCTAGGAAATGTGGATGTGTATGTGTATGTAATTATCATACAGATATGCAGCGGATGATAGGTTTGCCAGGAGAATTGAATTCTGAGAAACTTCGATCACTGGGATAGGGCTCTCACCAGGAAAGGTTGCTTGACAGCTGAGTCCTTCTATCACTTGTTGACTCTGGCAACTTTGGAGAATTGAAAACCAAATTTACTTAGAGCGTGAGAGTAGTATGAACATCGGTTGTGCCCATGGATAACTGGTTAGGTAGTTATTTTCTTTTGCCCTGTGGACTGTAGATATGGAAATGAATTAATCGCGAGAAACAAGGAGTTTACATAAGTTATTCAGTACAATAGAGAGAAAAGCACAAGAAGCTGATTGTTAGTTCTAAATTTTAAGGCCTTCGCAACAGTTTAGAGTTCTCTTTTTGTCATTATGTGCCATAGCGTTTATGAAGGAAAATGACCTAAAAGCTAATAACTCTTGGAAACTTCTAAGAATGTTTGAGGGAAACCTGATCAATGAAAGATAGGCTTCTGAGGTACCAATGGTAGGACACACTGGAATGAGAAACGTGTAGTTTCTCAAATTAGTTGCTGTTCTTGCTTTAGTGTTGTTAGAGCCAAATCAGCTTAAAAGTTACGTGGGATTTGCATCTGAATCACGAGATGAGTATGTGGTGTTAATCATTGCTTGAAGTTAATGACCGGTATATTATACAAGACCTGCAAGATCTTGATCATATAGCTATGAGACATGCATTCATTCCATCTGTAGCTGCATATTGATGTTGAAATATTTCTACTGGTAGCAACTTGATGCAGATTTCCTCTTGAATTGCCTGCCTGCATGCATGCCTGCCTGCTTGAGAGAATTTCTGACTCTTGTCCTCATATTTTTTTCTCCTAAGAAGTAACAAGAGCTATTTGCTTTTCTTATATAAGGCAAAGCTTGCTCTGGACTGCCTTGAAGTTCCAGTTGGGTAACAAGGTGCATTTCTATATGATAATTTATTTTCTAATTCAGATGATTAGTAATTCAATTTTAATTAGTGAAGGATCACAGATTGTACTTTGTTAATATTGTACTTTGACTGACTAGCTGTGTGATTGTTAAGGATGGGAACATTATTGCGGCAGGAAGAAACCAGACTAATGAGACACAAAATGTGTGTTTATCATTGCTTCGCCTCCCCCTTCTATAAATTTTGGCCAACAGCACTTTGTTATCCCCTCGTAGTTTATCGTTGATCATTTCATGTTTCTCCCTCAATTGTTTCTTTACTAGATGATAAAACGATATATCTGAACAAATCTGTTAATAAGTGGAATTTTCCATACATTATTAGGCTGTAAAGGGTTTGGTTCCCATCATTCGTTCATAAAATATGTCTACCGCTAACAATAACAATAATCTTGCATTATTATAGACATTGTTTTACGTTTTTCATTTGCCACTGTGCTTTGTCTGGAACCATATGACGTTCTTTATCTGCTTAGGGGAAAGCTCCTGATGATTTTTTCTTAGGCCGTATGGTAGCTAGACTTTTGATATGCTTTTTTGGTATGAAAATGCATTGTGAGCATTGTATTGCCTTTTAAGATCTGAGAACCTGCTCCTTGGCCACATTTCTTCTTACAATGACCACATTTACACAAATACTTTAAGCTGGGTTTCTGGTAGACATCTCTTATCTAATATTCTATTGCTGTCACATTAATAGATATGTGGTGAAAAATAGTTGATACGACATATGTGGCCCGTTTAGTATCTCGTGGAGCATAATAAAAAATAAAGACACCTTGCTACAGGGATATATATATATATATATATATATGAAAATACTGTTAGAAAAGTTGGAGGTGGCTAATCTAATAAGAAGCCTCTTTTTACAAGTGAGATTCTCAGCCACTTCAAGCGAGTATCTTGTTGAATTCATGTAGTATGCCCGAATCAATCTTACGTATATTCTCAATCAGTTAACTTGAAGGGGAAAACATTTCTCATGAAATGCATTTCCTAAATTTATGTTGAAACTACATTAAGAGCAACTGTCTCTCTGACAATGCTCCTTAATTTGATATTCTTGCTCTGTTTTTCTCCTTGTGCTTTCATAGGCAAGAAGACATGCAGAGATGGAAGCTCTTGATGTTCTACTTGAACAGTGGAAGAGGACTGGATTTTCAGCTGCAGAAGTTTTCAGTATGCTCACTGTATGTGACATGAACCATGCATAATGTTTGCAGCATCATTATCGATCATTGGTACATCTATTGATCATACTGAAACAAAACTAAACTTTACTAGAATTTGTTTATTCATATGATTAGATGACTCTTACCCATTTTTGGTTATAAAGGAGGTATATATGGCTGTGCAAACGATAAATTTGGAGGCTGTGGCTCAATACTGTCGTTGCATTCCTGAGGCATGCATTAGGTCAATTTCTGAACTTGCTTTTGTTGCTGGTTTTGTGTCTACATAGCTTTACTATGAAATTGTGACATACGACAATTGACAACTAAAGCTTACTGAAGGTTTATGATTCCTTATGTTTGTTACGGGTGAATGTGGGTTTGTAGTGATTCTGTACGTTGTCGCACTTTGAATATTGCAACGCATGACCATGAAAATAAATGGAGGTTTATGGAAAGTTTCATAAACCTTATCTTTTCTGTCAATTTTGTTTGGTGAATACTTGTCAATGTCATTTGGTTCGCTAGATGTTTTTTCATTTGGCTGTGTGTGGTTAATCTGATGGCTTATCTTTCAAAAATTTCCAATCTTAATTTAACTTGCAACCTTTTAAACCCGTATGGATGAGTATATTTTTTTTTGTTTTAGTTTGGGGGTTAGATATTCGGTGATTTCTTTTACTGATTCATTTCCTTTTCTCTGGGTTCTTTTGGGATTAGAAAATGGTGATCTGATAAGTGAAAACAAGAAGGATAGTGATGGCGGTTTCCACATTAACTCCCCAATATCTGAGGACCACTTTCCCTCATTGAATGAGGGCAATGAGGACTTAAATTGTGGAGAATCGCCGTCTCCTCCGTTCACATCTATGAATGAGCCTCTAGGGTGAAATGCAGTTGTTCAAACTGTTGAGGAAGTGGAAGCTGGAGATGTTTTACAGATCGATCAGAGGGATGTTGCGGAAGCTGTTGGCGATGAGACTGATGGCCAAGGAACCGAGTTAAAGTCTAGAAGTTTTTTTATTGTAAAGGTTGTCAAAGAAGAGGAAACCGAGGAAGGGTTGGAGAACGCGAGTATCTACATCGAGAGGCTCAAGTCTGCGAAGGAATCGTGCAATGGAGAGAGTGAGAGGTTGCCCATGGCGAATTCGGCAGAGCAGCCAGTATTTCACTTGTTTTTGATCAATTGTGGCTTCCAAATTTATGATTATTTTGAATTTAAGCATCAGAAATGGAATCTACTTAATTACTTTATTGAGCTATTGCTCCATGGCATGAGGTAGCGATGACTCTGAGGGTGACGCAAAGGACTTAGTGGATGAATTGCTGTGGATTGCTTGATGTCATAACTGGATCCAGGACATAATTTCCAGGTTTATATTTTCCAGTCACCTGGAAAATTGGTATGATGTTTTCATGGCTGAGAGCGGGTCTATTGCATTCTGTAGCTGCATCACCTGGACTTTGTAATATAGCAACATTTACATTTTTATCAAGCAGTGTCTCTACTCTTTGATGTCTCAGTTGTTACCTTTGAGGCTAGGCTAGTGCTGAAGAACTCGACCATCATGGAAAACTGTAAAATTCTATTTGTCAAGCGCATAGACTCGTGTTCGCTTCCCTGTTTCTATAAACTTGGCAGTTACTTCTGGATACTTCTACATCTTACCTATATAAATGAACTTGTTACTTAGCTTGGTCGACATTTTCACGAACTATTAGAACCCATATTGTGCTCTCATTGTCCTCAGGTCTGAAAATCATTCTTGTTGCTGGGATGCTCCTAGACTGCGAAGTTTACCATATCCAACCTGCAAGTACTTGCGGTCTGTTAGCAGCAGCTGTTTACTACGGCTGCTCTATACCTAGTCACTCCATATCATTTGCTCTGGCCGATGCACTTTCACCGAATCATGTTTTGATTCGTGCGGATGACCTTTGTTTGCTATTCCTTCCAACATCAGTATATATGTTGGCCAAAGGGAATGACAGACTTGTCAAAAGAATATATGGCTTTGGGACCGAGTATTTTCAGACTTGGACCCATGAAAACATCCGGAGCTTCCTCTTAACGTGAACTCTCAAGCTTGATCCCTTCTAATTGTCTTTTGGATGCAGAGAGAACTGGGAATCAGTTTTTGGTCGAAAGATAGGAAGCTCAGCAAAGAACTGATAGTTTGCTTTTGGCCCGACACGAATGTTATATCATCCTTAGATCTCGCACACGCGTACCTCTTGCGCGATTGCTTTTCCCGCCATTTGGTTTGATATGGTATTTCTAAAACTGTAAAATGATGCGACTGATTGTAATTAACAGCTAGCCTAAGGTAGTAAATAGAGCATAAACCTAAACTACATTATATTCAAAGATTGCGACATTTTTTCTGAGAAAGAAAGCTTGTTAATCGTGATATTACTGTTGTGCTATGTACTCAAAATTACAGTACTCACATTGCCAATGTGATTTTTGCTGAATGGTTTCACTTCTTACCCTCTTCGTGGAATGATCTCAATTACTCAAAAATTAGTATCAACTTCGACAATTTCACCCCAATCTCAACTTTTTTTCCGTGTAGCTTGATTGCCTGAGAAAGCTATAGAAGTAGTTGATAGGGGAAGAAATATATAAAATTCATTTCCGTAGCATCCATTGCATTGCATGCGGAACATCTTGATTTTCTTAACGATTTTTGAGAAAGGTACTAAAATATATTTACAAAAAACGAAAAATATCACCAAAAACTTGAAATTATACCAATTTTATTACAAAAATCTTCAAACTCGAACCAGCAACAAAATACCTTCTATCTACTATAAAAAAAATCGCACGCTTTGCCTACTACAATATAATATTCTAAATTATTTTTCCTTTGATGACAGAAATCTCAAATTTGTATAAATGTGACAAAAAGATAGTATTGGTGTTACAGTTAGTATAATTTAGGATTATTAGTAACACAAGAAAAAGTTGGTGCTATAATAGGCGTAGCTTAAATTTTTTTGCTGGTTTTAATTCAAGAAAAAAGTTGTGGAGTGTATTTGCCTCAGAAATTCTACCACAACTTGGCTGAAATCCTCATATAATCATGAGAATGTGTCTCTGGGCACATGCAAAAATCTGTAGAGAAGAAGATAATTCTGTAAATAAAGTGAAGAAATTTAGAATACAAGAAAAAATCCTTAAGAGAGAATATTAAGGAATTGCATTGCCTTTGAAGGAGACAGGTGCGTCTTTCTTCTCTGTTTCGTTGTTAACAGTACTTGACTCGAATCCCTCCATCGTCTTCTTTGTTATTCTGATCTAGGCGACCCACCACATGTCTTGAGTTTCTTAAGTCCTTTTTATATGATGATTTTTCCTGCGCTTATCTTCTTCTTTTTTGCTAGAAATTAAACTTTATATTGCAAACAAAGCAATTACAAAAAGGAAGCATTACCTACATTAGAGCGAAATATAAAAGAAGACTCTACTAGTACAATATTTTTAACTCTAGAAGGGAGATCATGGTAAAGAAAAGAGGATGCGGTGCCTATATGATTAGAGGCCCGATTTGCAAGTGCATGAGCAGTTCCATTCTTGGATCTACGGGTCCAGTCCAAGCTCCAACCTGGATTGTGCTGAAATTGAAAGCAAGAATCTGCAACGAAAGATTGAATACTCCAAGGGCAAAGACCCTTTTGTTGGATGGCATCAATTAATACCTTACAATCGCTTTCAAAGATCGCTTTTCGAATGCCCAGGGACTAAGCATAATTGCAGGCGAGAAGGAGAGCTGCTGCTTCCACTTCCATCGGCGAGTTCCAACGTCCTCTCCTTGTCCAAGCTTGGACTACTAATCTGCTAGCCAATCATGCAATGATACCTATGGCTCCTTTGTTATCTTTCCACGCACCATCTACATTAAATTTGAGCTCTTGATCTGATGGCGGAAGCCAGGTGTCTGTTCCTACTCCAATCGAATCGGCTTCTGGACTTGGTGTGACTGTGTTTTCTTCCTTGAACTTGTTCGAGAATTCCATGAACTCTTGTAAAACCAACTTAATTGCCTGGGAAGGATTTGGAATAGCTTGATCATGTAAAATGGAATTCCATAAAACCACATTCTAGTACATAGAATCGCTGCATAGAGAGTGAAGAGTTTGCAATCGAATCCCATTATCTCTACAATTCGTCCTGGGTCAAGGAAGTGGTTTATCATTTCCTTTGGTGATGTGAAGTTCCAAACAGATGAGATGATCCCCTTGAGCTCTGTCTCCATAAAATATGGGCCAAAGGGCATGCTGTGAATAGATGGACTGGAGTTTCTTCTGAATTTCCACACAACGGGCATGAAGGGTTTGGAATGTGAAATAACCTACCCAGGTTAGCTCTACAGGGCAAGACATTGGCCGTTGTCCTCCAAAACATCATCTTGTGCCTCTCATGAACTCTAGCTTTCCAAATTTTGGTCTAGATTCCAGAGTTAGAGCCATTTGCTGTAGGCACTTTGATGAGCTTATAAGCGGATTTAACGGTAAAAATTCCATCAATAGCTGGCTGCCAAATTGGTTTATCCATCCAAATGGAGGATGGAACTTGAATCTGAAGAATGTCTTGGACCGAGGTTGGGCAAAACACCTGAGTTAGACTGTTTACATCCCAAGATTTTGTCCTTGGGATAAAGAAGCTGGCTACTTTCCTTTGCTTTTAATATAGGATCAAGATCAATAAAAGAAGGGAGATGCTTTGGTACGTGTGGAATCCAAGGGTGATTACCAACCTCAATTGACTTATCATCTCCTACCTGATAAAGAGTGCCAAGTTTGAGTATTTCTCTAGTGTCCATGATTGCCTTCCATAACCGAGATGCTGATGCCTTAACCTCATGGTTCCAAAAATTGGATCTCCGTAAATATTTTCCCTCAAGGAGTCGAACCCATAACTTGCCTCTATCTTGTATCAGTCCCCAGCCGAGTTTGAGGATCAAAGCATTGTTGAAATCCCTGGTATGTCTAAAACCCAGTCCACCACTTTTCTTATTTCTACACAAAGAGACCCAACATTTAGGTGTGAAGAACCTGTTTTTCTCCGCCGGGACACCCCACCAGAATTTCCTAGTGGCTGCATCGAGTTTGTCACAAGTGACTCTTGGCAACCTATTGGATTGCATAACATAGATCGAACTATTCTGAACAACCGATCGAATGTACGTTGCTCTACCTGCCTAAGACAAGGACTTCCTTTTCCAATGACTAAGTTTGTTATCAACCTTCTGTTCAAGGAATTGGTATCTAGCTTTGCCATTTCCACGTTTGAAGAGAGGGTTGCCAAGGTACAATGCATCAGGATTTGTCTTCTTCATGTTGAGTTCGTCCATGCAAAATTTTTTCATTCATGTGGAAGTGTTTTTTGAGAAGAAAACAGACGACTTTTGACGATTTAAGCTCTGACCTGACCAGGAGTAGTAAATTTGAATGCTTTCCTTCAGCACTCTCACATGTCTCTTTGTGGCTTGAACAAATAACAACAAGTCATCGGCATACATAAGGTGTGTCAGAGGTGGACTGTCCCGCCCTGCTCTTATCCCTGTGATCATCTTTAAGTCCTCTGCCCGATTGAGTATTTGAGATAGAAGTTCAGAATAAATTATGAACATGTATGGTGAGATAGGATCACCTTGTCGTAGACCCTTTTGAGGTGTAAGACCTCCAGCAGGCCTACCATTGATGAGCAAAGTATAATGAACTGTTGAAATAGACCGATTTATGAGTCTACAAAAGTGATCAGAAAACCCCACGCTACGAAGTATTGTATTGAGAATATCCCAATCAACCCTATCGTAAGCTTTGGACATATCCACCTTTACTCCCACAAAAGCCCTGCCATTTCGTTTCTTTTTCATGGAGTCTATGATTTCCTGTGCCATAACCGAGTTCTCTTGTATACTTCTACCCGGGACAAAGGCCGATTGTTGAGGTGAAATCAAACGGCTAAGAAACCCTTTTAGTCTATTGGCTAACAACTTAGAAATAAGTTTGTAGCTCACATTACACAAACTTATGGGACGAAACTAGGTAAAGGTATGTGCATTCTGCGATTTTGGGAGAAGTACTATGAAAGTATGATTAATGAGGTGGGGCAAATGACCTATGCGAAAAAATTGCTGTACAAATTGGATAATCTAGGCCTTCACCACATCCCAACATTTCACATAGAAGATGGCATGAAATCCGTCTGGGCCCGGTGATTTAAGAGGGGCCATCGCTTTTAGGACTCTATAGATTTCATCTTCCGTTGGAATCTTCAAAAGTTCAAAGTTTTCCTCTTCAGAAATAGCCTTAGGGAATAACTCCCCTATGCAAGGGTGTGGATTGAGTGTTGGTCCCGAGAAAAGCTATGTATACTTGGATAGAAAAAATCCTTTGATCTCATCCATATTCGTGATCCATCGGCCCCCATCATCTTGCACTGCCAAGATATAATTTTTGCGCCTTCTAATAGTGGTAGAGAGATGGAAAATTTTGGTATTTCGATCACCCTCTTGTAGCCACAATTGTCTTGATTTTTGCTTCCACATCATCTCCAGTCTCTCCCATTGCTCATTAATATCCACCTTGATTTCTTTTTCTTTCTTGCTATTCTCTTCTGAAGGATCATCCATTTGAATGGAAACAAGTGATGAAGTCAACTTTTTAGGGCGTTGTTGGCAAATGCCAAAGTGTTCCTTATTCCACTTTTTGAGGGCTATCGCAGTTGATTTTTGTTTCCTATGCCAAGAGGCCATTGAATTGTCCACCACGCTATTCCAAGCCTCTTCCACAACATTAACACAGGTTGAATCTCGCAACCAAGCGGCTTCAAATTTAAAAAGGCGTCTCGAATTATCCTCAAGGGAAGTCGAATTCAGCCAAATAGGAGAATGATCTAAATTTACAGCCGATAAGTGGACAACCCCTGCCCGAGGGAATTTCTCACACCATGAAGTTGAACAGATTGCTCGATTCAGTCTTTTTCGAACGCTTGCAAAGCCCCCTCTACCATTTGCCCATGTATAAGGCTGGCCTTTAAACCCAAGATCAACATAGCCCGCTAAATCCATAAAGTCCGCTAGGAAGCGACGAGATGGGCCCGGGCCCCTTCTGTTGGACGCCTCTGAATCATAGATGGTCTCATTGAAGTCTCCAATTCCAACCCAGTCCTCTCCCAAGTTTCGAACCCGACTAGTGAATTCTTCCCAAAATGCTTGCTTAAGTCCAAAATAAGGGGGTGCATACACCAATGAAAGCCACCAGAAATGCTCAGGATTTTCTCTGATAGAAACCTCCGTATGAATTTGGTTTTTGTCTGCGAAGGAAATGGATAAGACCACAGGATCTTTCCAAATGACAGCTAAACCTCCCGCTGTATTATCCGCGGGAATTGAAAAGGAGTGGGTAAATCCAATCCGTCGTGTAATAGTTTCTATCCGACTAGTATCACATTTTGTCTCCGATAGAAACACAATATCTGGGTTACAAATTCGGCACGTAGCCTTCAACTCTCTCAGAGTGGGTATTCCTACAATGCCTCGACAATTCCAGGCTATAATATTCATGGCAACGTAGGGGCAGTAAATGGCCCACCTCCTTTACCCACTAGCGACAGAATAAGAGTTACTCCTCAAGCACCAACAACCTCCAAAGAAAACACCAAACTTCTCTAACAACTTCCTAGTAGGCATCGGAGCAAACACTTGGTGTGCTGAAATGATTTCAGCGCATTTTCATTGACCCCCTCCAGCCATACCGAGGTGCTAGACTCTGTTCGAACCGGAAGATATCACCACCAGTCGTCAACAAAAAAACCAGACCTTGCCTTCAGTTATTGTTCAATGGACAATGTAGTAAATGCACAACCAGCAGAGAATAACAGTTTGGGAATTTATCTGCCCACTTAACTTCTGTTTATCTGAATTACAGGGGCTGAGGCTAGAGCGGTAATCACACCACCCATGAAAATGCCACAATTCTCCAACCGCTAACTACCAGGCATTACAACAAACACTTGGTGAGCACTCATTCATCAATCAAAGTATAGACGGGGATCACTCGATCTCTGGCATCACCAAGCACCAACAAGTCCCAGCTGAAGGAACATCTCCTTCATTGGCACACAACCAGCAGAGAGCATGACATCACTGATGAAGTAGATCATCCTCGCCACGGTCAGGGGGGAATTGGCAACCTTTGACGAGAAATGGGTGAAGAAGGGAATAAGTGGAGTTGATGCGATGACGAAAGGAGGGAACTCCAACCAAGCGGAGAGGTAGACTCCCACTGAGGGAGGGAAGACTCCCAAAAAGGGAGAGGTGAGCTCTCACGAAAGAGAGATTACTCGGGCGGCTTCTTTTTACCTGCGCTTATCTTCTACTTTCTCTAGATGATGGACTGATAGAGAGATTAGCTCTAATTCTGTGATTTGGATTTTATGATGCTTGGGGGTGTTTCGATTTGTGTAATGGGATTGATTCTATGGAGATGGCTAGAATTTGGAATTAACAGCTAGTGTACAGTAGGAATAGAACAGAAATGTGCCTAAACTACATTAAGTTCGAAGATTGTGATGTATCATTTCCTGAGAAAGAGAGCTTGTTACTTGTGAAATTACTGCTGTGATATGTACTCAAACTTACAGTACTCACATTGCCAATGTGATTTTTGCTTAATGGTTTCACTTCTTACCCTCTTCGCGGAATGATCTCAATTACTCAATAATTGGTATCAAATTCGACAATTTCACTCCAATCTCAACTATTTTCTGTGTAGCTTGCTTACCTGAGAAAGCTATAGAAGTAGTTGATAGGGGAAGAAATAGATAAAATTCATTTTACCTTGAGAATATGTCCGTAGCATCCATTGCATCCGGAGCACCTTGATTTTCTTAACGATTTTCGAGAAAAGAACTAAAATATATTTAGAAAAAAAACGAAAAATATCACTAAAAACTCGAAATTGTACCAATTTTATCACAAAAATCTTCAAACTGGAACCAGCAACAAAAATATCTTCTATCTACTATAAAAAAATCATGCGCTTTGCCTACTACGATATAATATTCTAAATTATATTTTCTTTGATCACAGAAATTTCAAATTTGTACAAATGTGATAAAAAGATACTATTGGTGTTACAGTTGATATAATTAAGGATTATAAGTAACACAAGAAAAAGTTGGTGCTATAATAGGCGTAGCTTAATTTTTTTGCTGGTTTTAATCGAAGAAAAAAGTTGTGGGGTGTGTTTAACTCAGAAATTCTACCACAACTTGGCTGAAATCCTCATATAATCATGAGAATGTGTCTCTGGGCACATGCAAAAATCTGTAGAGAACAAGATAATTTTGTAAATAAAGTGAAGAAATTTAGAATATAAGAAAAAATCCTTAGAGAGAATATTAAGGAATTGCATTGCCTTCGAAGGAGATAGGTGCATCTTTCTTCTCTGTTTCGTTGTTGACGGTACTTGACTCGAATCCCTCCATCGTTCTTCTTCTTCTTTGTTATTCTAATCTAGGCGACCCACCACACGTCTTGAGTTTCTTAAGTCCTTTTTATATGATGATTTTTACTGCGCTCATCTTCTACTTTCTGCAGATGATGGACTGATATAGAGATTAGCTCTGATTCCGTGATTTGGATTTTAAGATGCTCGGGGGTGTTTCGATTTGTGTAACGGGATTGATTCTATGGAGATGGCTAGAATTTGGGGGGGGGGGGGGGGGAGGGGGGTTGTATATTCATCTGTGGTGGTTGCTATGATTAGCCCACCAGGTGTTCGTTAAAATTCCCTAGAGAAAATTGAGTTGAACATCTCACCGGATAATCATCTTTTGTGAACGTGTACTAGAGATGACGACAGTACATTAGAGATGATGTGGAGAGGACCTTAAACGAGCGGAGAATTACAGATTCTGTACTTGCATTGGTGTTGCACAATGTCCTGTTTCATTCGGGGTTGAACCTGATTTGTGAGAGGGCTTGTCCTGCTTTATGTTGGCGTGTGATGACGTACTGCTCGTTTGGTGCATCAACTGGTCTCTATATCAGACTGTGAATCGCATCGAAACTCAATTTTCCCGTTCGAGCAGTTCATGCTAGTTTTGTCCGGAGAATTCTGTGGTCTTCTTATGAAAATGTGCCCTCACTTGAGTGCGTATGCTTGAAAAAAATCCTTTCTTTACCTAGTCATCCGTCAAAACACTTGGGTAAGAATAGTCCTTCTTACATTTTTCAAATATGACTTCCACTTTTTAAATCAAGAAGTTGTTTTCCTTATTTTTGAACTTGGTAGTTGATTGAAGTCATTTTCCTTTGACCAGACTATCTTCCCACACCAAAATTTGAAAAATAGAAAGAACGTTTTCCGGTAAAATATTTTCCTCCAAACAACAGAGCCTAAGTCAAAATGTATCTTCGTCTTTCCCAAACTATCCTTCAATCGTAGTAGAAATATGATAGGTCTTTAAGGACCACATTCTTCATAAATAATCACCTATTTTCATCTATGCATAAGCATAACCACCTAACCTTTTTTTTTCTTTTCGCTAAATCCCCTTTACCTCTGATTAACTTCTTCATATCCTAAAATAACATTCTGTAGTTCTTTCTTCTATTTATTCTTTTTCTTTGTTTTTAATTCTTTCTCTCCACCTTCTTTCTTTGATTTCCCCGTTCTAAGCTCCTTCCTTTCCTCCACCATAGGCAAACTTCGAACTCCGTCGATGCCACTTTCAATATCACGACTGCTCATCTTTCATCCGACACCAGCGAGCTTTGACGAATGGAAGATCGCCACCTGCCAATGGAGGCGATGAACAGAAGAAGTTCTTCTTCCTGAAACAGCCTCGCGAACTGAAGGCGACGGAGACCAGCGAGTGCAGGTGACGGACTACCACCACCGACCGAAGGCATGGAAACTGATAACGCAGCCTCGGGTGAACGATTCTCTCCTGAGGTTCTGGGTTTCATGCAGCTTGCTATAGATCAGGTAACGCCTGGCACATCCAAATTGTATTAAGTTGACGTATTACTTGAGCTGAATTTTGAATCCGATACGTTGGTGCTACAATTGCGCGGCAACTTGAAGAATGTATAGTTGAATTTGTTCAGGAGACGTTGAATTAGTATTTCTTCATAAGTGTTGCTGCAAAATCAGCAACAATTTCTAGAAGGTGTAGCTTTTATTTCTTTGTTATTGTAGGTGGCAATTTATTGAAAGACGTAGGTGAAGTCTAGGTTCAAAGGAAAAACAAGTGAGGGAGAGTGGAATAAAGGGAAGTAGGGTGTACGTGGGTTTTTTTTTTTTGGTCAAAATTGTACATGGGTTGGTTCAGTCCCTTTCTCAGGTGAAAAACTGAGCCACATCGGGTGCTGTAGGTTGGGAACTATTTGGGTTTTTTTTAGGTGTCTAGGAAATGTGGATGTGTAGTATGTGCTTATCATAAAAATTTGCTGGACAATTGAATTATGAGAAACTTCGACCACGGGGTAGGACTCTGTCGCTAAGTTTCATGAGGCGCTTGAAGAGGCAAAACCATAGAGGAATGAAGAAGATGCAGTGAGATGGTAAGCCATCAGGAGAGGTTGCTTGACAGTCAAGTCCTTTTGCCACTTTTTGACTTTGGTACCTAGGGAGAATTGAAAATGAAATTTACTTCGAGCGTGAGCATAATATGAACATCAGTTGTGCCCATGGATAACTGATTAGGTGGTTTTTTTTCTGTGGCCCTGTGGCCTGTGGATATGAAAAAGAAAAAATCACGAGAAACACGGTTTACGTAAGTTATTCAGTAGAATAGAGATAAAATCACAAGAAGCTGATTATCAATTCTGATTTCTGAGGGCTTCACAACAGTTTTAGGGATCTCTCTTTATTCTCATGTGCCATAGCATTTGTAAAGGAAAAGGACCCAGAAGCTTAGACACTAGGAAGCTTTTTGAATGTTTGAGTGAAACCTCTTAATGAAAAGAAAAGCTTCTGAGGTACCCATGGTAGGACACACTAGAATGAGCAACATGAAGTTTCTCAAATTAGTTCCCTTTTTTTGCTGTACCGTTGTTAAAGCCATATCAGTTTAACCATTAGGTGGGATTTGCGTCTGTATTACTAGATGAGTATGGGGTGATAATCATTGCTTGGAAGTTAGTGACCAGTATGTTATACAGGACCTGCAAGATCTTGATCATATAACTCTGGGACATGCATTTGTTCCATTAGTAACTGCATATTGATACTGAAATATTTCTACTGCTGGCAACCCCCGATGCTGATTTCCTCTTGAATTTGCCTTTATGCATGCATGAAAGAATTTCTGACTCTTGTTCTTATTTTTTTTCTCCTTACAAGTAACAATACCTATTTGCTTTTCTTATATAAGGCAAAGCTTGCGTTGGACAGCCTTGAAGTTCCAGTTGGGTAAGATACTAGTTGTCCGTGACCAAGTGCATTTCATATGTTACTTTTTTTTCAAATTAAGATCATTAGTATTTCCGACTTAATTAGTGAATGATTTCAGATTGGACTCTTTGATTGAACAGCTGTGTGATAGTTGAGGATGGGAATGTTATTGCAGCAGGAAGAAACCGGACTAACGAGACACGGAATGTATGTATGTTTATCATTGCTTCTCCACCCCCTTCTATAGATTTTGGCCAACAGCACTTTGTTATTGTTCTGAATTAATGACCTCGAATTATCCACTCGTAGTTTATTGTCGATCATTTTATGTTACTCTGTTAATATGCATTTATTAGATAATAAAATAATATATCTGATCAAATCCGTTAATAAGTGGAATTTTCCATGCATTATTAGGCTGTAAGGGGTTTCGTTCCCATTATTCTTCATAAAACATGGTTACGGCTAACAACAACAATAATCTTGCTTTATTATGCACAACGTTTTATGTTTTTCGTTTACTGTTGTGCTTTGACTGGAACCATATTACGGTCTTGATTTGCATTTGTGAAGTTCCTAACATTGTTCTCTGAGGCTATTTTTAGCTAGACTTTTGGTATACTTATATGGTCTAAAAATGCATTGTGACCATTGTATTGCCTTTTAAGATGTAAGAACCTGCTCCTCGGACACAGTTCTTCATACAATGACCATTTACACAACTAGTTTAAGCCTGTTTTCTGGTAGGGATCATCTCTTATCTAATAGTCTATTTCTGTAATCATTTATAGTCATGAGGTGACAATACATTACCATAAATGATTTTATGGATAGTAATGAATATTTGATGTGAAAAATATTTGGCCCTTTTACTATCTTTTGGAGATTAATAAAAAAATACAAAGGCACCTTGCTACAGGGGTATATTTAAAAATACTGTTAGAAAAGGTGGAGGTGGCTAATCCAATACGAAGCCTCTTTTTCCTTGTGAGATTCTCAGCAACTTCAAGCGAGCAAAACTTGTTGACTTCATGTAGTATATGCCTTGATCAATCTTATATATACTTTTAATCAGTTAACCTGAAGGAGAAAATATTTCTCATGAAATGCCTTTCCTAAATTTATGTTGAAACTACACTATGAGTAACTGTCTCTCTGACAAAGCTTCTAAGTTTGATATGCTTGTGTTGTTTTTCTCCTTGCGCTTTCATAGGCAACAAGACATGCAGAGATGGAAGCTCTTGATGTTCTTCTTGTACGGTGGCAGAGGACTGGATTTTCAGCTGCAGAAGTTTTAGAGAAGTTTTCAGCATGCTCCCTTTATGTGACATGTGAACCATGCATAATGTGTGCAGCAGCATTATCTATCATTGGTACATCCATTGATCATACCGAAATAAAACTGAACTTTCCTAAATTTGTTTATTTATGATTAGATGACTATTACCCTTTTTAGGTATAAAGGAAGTATATTATGGCTGTGCAAATGATAAATTTGGAGGCTGTGGCTCAATACTGTCGTTGCATTCAAGTACCTCTGAGGCATGCATTAGGTCAGTTTATGAACTTGCTTTTGCTGCTGGTTTTGTATTTACATAGCTTTACTTTGAAATTGTGGCATATGACAATTGACAACTAAAGATTACTGGAGGTTTATGATTCCTTATGTTGATTACTGATGGATGTGGGTTCATTGTGTTTCTGTATGTTGTTGCATGTTGAATATTGCAACACATAACCACGAAAGGGAACAAGTTCGAATCTTCCAGTCACTAGCGTCTTAAGTGGGGAGCCCTGGTGGTGGGTTCCTGGGCTAGCTCCCCTCCAGGTATAGTCGGTGGTCGTCGTTGGGCCTGTCGGGCCCGCGGTGGCCATGTGCACCCGTAAGGTTGTGCCAGGCCGGATCCTGGGTATAAAAAAAAAATAAAAATAAATGGAGGTTTATGGAACTTTTTCCATCTTTTCTGTCCTTTCCTTAGTCTAAATAAAAGAAAGTGGTGTTTCTGGAAGCATTAAGAAGTCAAGTTTATATTTGTTCTTTCTTTTCCCACTTTGTTTCCTTTTTCTTAAATTCTTGGTGACTTGTTAGACATTTCTATATTCTTTATTTTCCCTAAAAAGTTTACAGTTTTGGGAAGTGCCACATGTTAAGCTAACATTAGTTTCTTCTTTCCTATGCCCTCTCCCCCCTGTTTCTTCATCTCTTCTTCCTGACTTTTTTCACTGCAGTGAGATTCTTTGATGTCTTTAATGTTATCATGTTTAAATCGAGAGATATAGTATCTTCAAAGAAGTATGATATTTTAACTATGAGGCAAAATTTATGCTTTCTGATCGGCCATGGGCAATGTACTTGATAAAATATCTTTTCTTGTTTAATAGTTGCAATTGTCTCTTCTTGCATACATGAGAGCATGTGCCTGCTAAATTGTGGTGTATTGCTTGTGTTTGCAGTATGATTTTTCATCTGTCTGACACTGTTATGAGCTAACATTTCATGTTTCCTAAGTTTGTTCAGAACTCATCAATTTTTTACTCCGACTTTGTCGACATAAAGTTAAAATGTAGTGAAACAGGATCTGTTTTATTGTGATCTGAGCAGTACACGAAGTTGCTAATCTAGATTACAGACATTGTTTTTCTGTTTAAAGTGTTAGTTTTGAAAGAACAAGCTCAAGTATTGGGGGAAGAAGCAAGAGATGCACCAAGGATGCATCTCAACAGCAAGTTCAGGGAAAAAGAATAAACCATGAGAACTCATACTTTTAGAGCTTGAAATTTATATTTACGTTGCGATTAATAATCTGATTATGAGTCAAAAGCATTCTGGGATGCATCTGCCTGATTTATGAATGTTTCCATCTTTTTTCTTTTTTCTCTTGCAGTGTTGGGAATTCTGGATCTAAGGGTTTCAAATACTGTGGGGGTATAATGGCATCGGAAGCCATTTCTCTTCTGCGAGATTTTTATGAACGAGGAAACCCTAATGGTATAAATGGCGATCAACCATTTTAATTAGTTGAACTGTCTGTTCGAAAGAATGTAATTATAATGCAGTGTGCACCTATTTACATTAGATAACCCAAGGGAACTGGTAGTTCGTTTTCAATGGACCCATAGTTAAATACTTTAGAGGAGGCTTTTATGAGCATAATAGAGAAATTCTACCTTTGAACCAAAGTTTTCTTTATCAATCAATGAAGCTGAGCATTGTGCCTGCTAGCAACGCCTCCCTGAAAGACCTTTTTGGAAAAATTTATCTTTTAGAGCCTACTACTATGATCTTCCTAGCACTGATCCCCTTCCATATTGATTAAGAAGAATTCAGGAAGCCTCTTTTTTTTTTCCTACTTTTCAATAAATTCTCTCAACCAGCTAGAGAAAGAACTGTAGCTGGGGCTTTCGGTGATTATAGATCTTGCTGAACAACTCTCTGTCTCTCTCTGTCTCTCTCTCTCTCTCGCACTTGTCCATATGTAAATTGTTTGCTGCAGTGAAGATATGTTGTATCCTTGATGTGGAGAATTATTTGCTAATCCCAGGTAAATAAAGCTGGCCCAATGGAGTGTTTTGGAATGACTTAAGGGTTAGTGAAATTGCAAGCATCGAACTAGTGGGTCATTGGTTGGATAAGAACCTATTTAGAAGTTTTCTCCATCAAGGATAAGGTGCTCAAGAGTGCTCATCTTGAGATGGTGCATACACTTATCCAAACCGACACTAAGTATACTTGCTTGAGTGGAGCGGTGTTCAGCCTTATAATGGTTGCTATAATTAGGTGTAGAATTGGCCCAGTAAACAAAAGATAGAGTTTCCAGATGCCCAGTCTCTTTTTTTTCTTGGCTAATTTTCAGATGCCTTGTTAATCACAAGTAGCTTACCTCTAGACTCGGTATACCTAGCCAGATTGCCATTTGAAAAATGGGATGTCATGTCCTTGGTTAAGGAAAAAGACGAAGTGCAGTATCTTAATAGTTGATAATCCATTGGTTAGACTCGTTAGAGAGAAATATCTTCTTCCTTGATCCCTATTGTGAGTTACTAAACTTATATGGTTCTTGGTCGAGCAATTGTCCAATTTATGCTCTGCAGTTGCAAATATTTCAAGAGACTGATTGGACCATAACCTTTTCATGCCTCAGAGATAATTAGTATGCTTTAAAACAGAAAAGATGGCCTTAAATAATTTGCCTTTGCAATGATAAAATCAATTTGGTTCATGTTTCTTCTTTGTTTTGTTGAACCTTGTTACATGAAGTATCATTTCTCTTCTCCTTTTTTCCCCTCCTTTTCCATTCATTCTCTGTTTATGACATTGTGGAATCTACGATTTGTTTATATATATGTATGCTGAATGCTAATATTTGATTTTCAGCTCCAAAGCCTCACAGGTCACGGGTTACTCAGGCTTCTCATTAGATCTATATGCATTGATTCTTCCTGTTGAATCTTCTTATGCCTTTGCACAACTAGGTAAGACTGTTGAAATTATGATTCCTTGCTTTTCTGAACATAATGTACATCATGTATGGTACTATGAAGCACCTCTGCTGCATATTGAACGATTATCAGTTACTTGTGCATATGACAAATGGGCTGCATGGTGAGACCTTTATGTAGTATAGCCTGTTAACAATTGAATGGCTCGGATTAGGGTGCTGTGGCAATGTTTCTTGCTGTGGCAGTATGATATGATGCTCATGTGACGATTGAGTATACCTATAACTATAAATTCTCTTGCATGGTGGTATTCAATCACGAGGCAATATAAAGGTCTTCAAAATGAAGTTAGACAACATCCTTGCTCTTCATTCCTGATTCTTGGTTTATTCTAATTATAATGGCCATTGTTCTTATTCCTGTCAGTGTCAGTTAATCTCTTCATTTGACTAAACCTATAGTCAAACTTGCAGTTCAAGATAGTTCCCATTCTTGAGGTGAACTCATCGCAAAATAACTTATGAACTAATAGTTTTCTGACTCTTTGTATACTACATGAAAAGTGCAAATCTAGATGTGACATCATTGGTGCAGATTCTGGCATAATAAGATTCTCTGCTGTTTGTTTTGTGATGTCAAAAACAGTTAAGGGTAATTATCTTGTCTCAAGATCTTAAAAATTTGTATAATCATAATGTTGTTCAGATAGGCCTCTTAGTATTGAGATTCGTGTGAACGTTATTGACGATAAAGTGTCTGCAAATGGAATTTAATCAAGGGACCTGAGAAAGGAAGCGTGATGCACATCTGGATCAGTTTTTGCTTAGATCTTAATGTGTTTATTGAGGGTTGTAGCTGTGATCACAAGTCCATTTCATGCTTTAACTTGATTATCAGATTGTAAGATAATTATTGCATAACCCTGTGTAGGCATCACTTTTCTGATGCTAATTTTTGTCATCAAAATATTCTGTAATCTAGCTTGATTTTTTTTATGAGCTTTCTAAGTTTGAGGTAATTCTAGGCATGCTATTGATGTGTCCAAGCTTCATAATTCTGGTCTAGATCATGTGTGATCCCTAATGGTCCGCGATCTAACGGGCCAGTGCCCAGCCACAGGCCTTAGGATGCGGGGCTGTGCCGTGCCTCACTAATACCATATCCTATTTAGTGTACATGTCATTTACAAAGAAACAAGACTCCAATTCTAGGCAAACAAACCTCTTCCAAGCAACCTTGGCCCCATGAGTATTCTCTGACCTTCCATTACACAAATGTTGAGCATTTCATGTCAACTTCTTTGGCATGGTAGAAATTTGACAATAATAGTTTATCGAGCTGTAAATAACAACAAACTTGATCAGTTGGGGTCTACCTGCATATTTGAGGTGTTTTTACTGTCTATGCTGTCATTCCAGTTGGAATCTTTCTGATCAAGGACCTACATCCTTTGTCACTTAGTCTACTGGGGATAAGAGAAGATCCTAAACCTAAGCCTTAACAGACAATTTTGCACATTTAAAATCATTAAATTGAAGCAACTCAGCATGGTATCGATCCTCATATCCAACCAAAAACAATTGTATTTTATTAGGATTCAGTTTCAATCCAGAAAGCTTTGGAATATATGGAGTACATTGAAGATTTCAAAAATTTATTGAAGAAAATCTTAAAGTCATCCACTTTAGAGATAACCTCAATAGAAATAATAGAAAGGAATAGGGGTAATGGTGTCTTAATTTCTTTTCTCCCTTGAAGAAGCCCTTGTCGACACCCGAATTTCGGTCAATAATTCTAGTGTTTATTCTTATAAAAGTTCCAATTAAAAATAACAAGATAATAACAAAGAAAATAGATAAATAAATAATAAGTAAATCAACAAATAAAAACAAATAAAAAAAAAAAAAAAAATGAAGAACACAGAAAAGCCC